GAGCTGCTCCGGAGTCAAGCTACAAAGATCATGTTGCACCAACAGGAAAAGGAACGAGCACAACTTCTGTATTTTCAAATTAACCAAAACTCCACCATTTCTTGGAACTCTTGCTATATTAATAAATAAGTCATATTTACACATAAATGGTGTCAAAATGTATCATTTTGTTTGGAAAGCTGATGGAAACATGCAACGTGCAACATATGAATACACATGCCTGGTTCTGCTGGAGGTTTCTTCCTGATTAGCAGGGAGTTTTTCCTCTCCACCGTTTGCTCAGGATGGGAGACTGTGATGAAGTGATTCAACACAATCTGCTGCTTTCTTCTTTACATTGTTCTTTTTATGTACAGTGTCCTGAGACAACGTATGTTGGGACTTGGAGCTGTGGAAATAAACTGAACTTGAACTGAACTTTGTGTTTAATGAATGAACATAACAAGTTTCACTTTTTGAAAGATGTTATTGAAATAAATCAACTTTTTGTGATATTCTAATTCTATGACCAGCACCTGTATGTCCAATTAATTGAATCATGTCCATTTTATGTTGGTTAATTTTTATTAGCTGTTGTGGCCATCTTGAACTGAACTGACTCCAAATGTTAATAAGTTTATGTTAATTTAATGATTACTCTAACCAGTGTCCAATCCTGGTCCTGAAGGGCTACTCTCCTTGTTTCTCTGCTCCAACACAGCTGAGAAACATGTACAAAACACAGGATAGTGGCCCTCGAGGACCAGGATTGGACAGTCTTGCTCAACAAGCTTGTGACATCATTGCAGCTGATATTTGACCACTCTTCTGGTAGACTTCATCTGAACTGGTTGGTTTCTGAACAGACCCATCTTCAACAACAACAACAACAACAACAACAACAACAACAACAACAATAACAATAATAATAAATCAGTCTTATATAGCCCTTTTTAAACACAAACATGATAACTCAGTGTAGTTTACACACAGACTAAATTTGATGTGGTAGTGGTTATTGCCTCTTGTGCAGTTTTCTAAATCTCACTGCCAGTTTACATCCATTCACATAAACTAAATAGTTTAGTCTTTGATATTATTTTTAATCTTTAGAAACCAGGTTATCCAATTAAAATAGTTAACAAAATAATTAATTCAAAACAGAAAACCAGAAGTCTGCCTCACACCTGCAAACATTTAATGACATCCTGAGGAACAGCTGTTCATGTTAACCAGCAGCTGTGGACTGAAGCAGCTCTAGGGGGGTCCAGGGGTATAATCACCTACAAAATTTAGTAAAAGATCTAGGACAACATCATTTGAATAACATTTTACTAAATTCCTAGGATTAATAAAACATCATAAAATTTGTGTTTTATGAAAGTAGAACCAGATTTTAACCTGAACTTTATCTGAGATCAGAACTGAAATTTCATTATTTTGTTTTCTATTTCCACACTGAGCACCAGTAGTTAGACTGCATCATATGATACTTTTATCATGAAACATCCTCTGCATCATATAGGCCAGGGGTCTGCAACCTTTACAATCAGAAGAGCCATTCTTGCTCCTTGTCTCACTAATAAAATGTGTTTGGAGCCGCAAAACAAGCTACAACTGAGAATATCAACTGCTGGCCCATGGGCCTTTTTTGGGGTCTTTCCTGGAACCTTTACGGTCAGTGGAGGTCACATTATAAAACAAAATATTATTATTATTATTATTATTATTATTGTTGTTGTTGTTGTTGTTGTTGTTGTTGTTGTTGTTGTTGTTGTTGTTATTATTATTATTATTATTATTATTATACAC